ACAAACAAACAATCATATATTAGGTAAAGGTCTATGTACTTTATTCTCAAATTATTTCCAACCTACTTTACAAAACACGTTTATTATGGGAACTGGAAGAAATCTAAGATACTGCTCGATATTTTCATGAACAAATATGTTTGAGGAGATAAAACAAAATGTGCTAAAAGCTGGGGCACCAGCTGGAACTGTAGCAATGATTCACTATTGTATAACAATAACCTAATTAAGACAAGCTGTACAAAACTAGAAACGGACAAAGTGACCAAGAGTACGAGAAGGATAAAATTAATCCTTACCGTTGAACAGAAGAGGGCTAAGAAAAGTTATAACAGGTGTACTGAAAAATGGACCATACCTTCAGTTATTAAAATCAAACCAAGAGTACCGTTGTGTCAATAAAACATATTTTATACATAAATTAGCAAGTCAATGAAATAGAATTACTGATAAAAAGTACATGTAAAAATGATTGAATATTGGAATAAAATTTTAGCGGTTGACTGCATTGTACAAAACCAAATATTTTTTGTTTGTAGTTAAACAATTGAGCGCTATACGTCCGCATACTTACCACTGTGCCACAATCAAAGAAGAAATAACAGAAAGCTTACGTGTTTTCTTAAAAAATTTCATCAATTTTTTAAATAAATTATTAACGATATAGGTATGAATCTGTCAACAAAACAATGAAGTAACAACAAGCTTCGGCTTTTAATTAAGTGGAGAAGAAATAATATTGCAGGTAAGCATCAATTTCCAAAAAATATTCATTTATACTTAATATCAACTAAGAGTATTCTTACATGATACATTAAATACAATCGAAAATAACCTCATATTCTTTATCATGTTGATTTTGTTTAGATCTCCATCACTTAAACGGTCGGGGCTGGTTAATTTGGAATACAGGGGAATACATAATGATTTTAAAATGTAAACAATATATTTTGTGTGTATAACTCGTCCAGAACACTATTTAATTACTATTCTTCATTATAAGATACTCCAAATCTACCTCGGCCCAAATGTGAAGTTGTCACTAAAGAGTCAAAATAATAGGATGAGAGGTTTTTTTTTGTTTACTTGTTGGTTTTTTACAACTGGTGCCCAATTACTCCATTAAATGTAGGATGAGTCAAGTTGGATTCATATTATAAAGGAATATGATATCAGCGCCTATTTTTTTATTTATTTTTTATAAATTGCAATAATCGACAAGGTATTTTGCTCACTTTAATATATACTCATAATTATATTTTTGACTGTAGTAAAAAACAACCTGTTTTGATAGTCTTTTTTATTTGGATTGAAGTTTTTCAGAATAATATTGATAAAGATAGTACTGTGTTGTAAAGTCTCCACTCATTTGATGAAAAGGAAAATAATAGCAGTACATATGACAGTCTGTAGGGGAGTCAAATAAAGAAGCATCAATTTAGGAGTGGTTTGGCTACTCTGGTGACTGACCTCCTAGTCTTCATGGCAAGAATTAACTGTTGATTGGCAGTTGGGATGGTCAATTAATTGAAAAATCAATAACCGATAATAATAAAAAGTTGTGTAAAGTTACCTGTAGATTTGCAGGTACTTACGTAGATATATGCTTCATACAGTGTGATGACGTACTTCCATATGTCACTTTTACTTTGAATAGTCGATCTTAAATTCAGCTGTGGTTTTGGATAATCTTTTGTACATGGTTTTACCTAAAGCCGAGTGAACTACCTTTTTTATACCTTGTATGCTTTTATAATGGTGGAATAAGATAACTTTGCGTCAGAAACTCCTGTTATGTTTCTCAATCTTGAATAGATATTTCCATTAGTATTTGTAATGTATTTGAAAATTTTTATTGTGGATTTCGAAACTTACCTGTTGAACTTCAGTGAACAAAAATATCACACATCTAAGATTTTGGTGTGAACTTTAAGATTGATTTATATAATTGTCCTTGTGCATGTCTTCTTGTTAATCTCATGTAACTTTATTCCACTTCGAAGAGTGTACATTGCAAAATAATAAATAAGGTGTCAGTTGGTCAATTAGCAGAGTAGATGTTTCGATTCCCATCTGTTTCAATCTATCACTTCTTCTGAAAAAATTCATCTGTTAAAAAGATAGAAGATATCAACATCCTTGATCCACTTTAGATTTCTAGAGCCCGATAAGGTGTGTTGTCAATAAGCAGAAATGTTCAAATTGTGGTTTATATTTTCTAGGGTTAGCGGTCTGGACTGTATATGGCCTTGTCCGAAAGAAGACTGCCGAGTTATCGATGAAAGTAAATGCAAAGCTGGAACAACATTGGACATATGTGGTTGTTGCACTGTATGTGCTAAGGTGAAAAATTTAACTTATTCTTACATCTCACAACAAACATATGACCTACCAGGCTATCCATTTGGGGCTTACTCAACTTATGCATAATAACACAGACTTGAGAACATTTGACCCAAATCTCCATGTAATTAATCATTGCTCAGTATTTGAAGACAATTAACACACTGTAAAACATATCATCCATTATTTACTTTACTAAGCTTACTTCTTAAATCTTCACTATTATTTTTTTCATATTCATTCAATATTTATTTACAAAGTTACAGCCGTATATGATAAGGTAATAAGATACAAAATATACCATACACAATTGTTATTATAAATGTAAAAAAAGAAATAGTAAGGACCATGTGTTGGCACGTAGTACAAAAAATGGAATAACATGGATTCTAAGATTTAAACGATTGCTGGAATAATTTGGAATCCTTCCACTTATTGTTTAAAGAAACGTATGGAATTAAAACTAAGGCCAATCATAAGTTTTTAGTGTGGGAGACGGGGTCGCGGTATGAAATAATGCTTTCGCTTTCATATCTTAAGAGAGTGTTTTAACAGTTATATAGAACAGGTTTCGATTCTTTTAAATTTTGCGCAAAGCTAGTTGTCCCCAGTAAGCTAGAATAGTTTTCTTTCTATTTGCTCAAAAACATAATTTTTTCCTGTTGTATGAACTTAATGTGATATACGAATATTTAGCGACACACTACCTATGTTTGTAAAATCCGGGTTTCGATAGCCCATTATGTTGCTTTGTGCTTAACTTCAAGCAATCAAATAAAATGTTTCTGAAAAAAAGATAATGATTTCCATTTGACGAATATATATTTAATTACTGTCATGTTTGTAGTAAATGTATTTATCCATGTAAAGTGTTATGACATGTAGTGTTAAAACTTAAAAGGATAAGTTGGGTAAATCTCATGGTTTATGTATCTATGGGATACCTCTACAGTAGGTGTCTGTGACTTGTTGGCGATAAATTCGACAATAAACGGACAGCACACACTCCAATTGTTTCAAAATAATATATTCAAAACAAGTGAAACTGTGTACAAAAATTGTTTACACTATTTATATTACAGCTATATCTCAAACTCTAAATATTTTTTTTTCGTCAAAAGTCCACTTAGGTTGATTCAATTACTTTCGAATCCAATTACCAAGACTATTTTTCTCTACTGTTATCACAACAGTACCAGCAAATAATTCACTTAAGGTATCACGTGAGTTACCACAGTTGTATCCCGAACTTCAACTAATTGTCTCCTTTTCGTCAAAGTCCACACAGACGGGTTCAATTACTTTAGAACACCCTTTTCAAAACAAATTATCCCTCTTATCTCTATTAAACTACATTTTTCACTTTACTTCACACAAAAAGGCCTCGAATTTTCGACAAACCACGAGAGCAGCGCTGTAAGGTAACAATATTTACTTAAGATAACGAGAAAAATACCGCAGATTCGAGTAACGTGACGTCAACAGTATTAGTAAAGCCTAGCCAACAATGTAATTGCAAACACAACGTAAGCCTTGTACAGAGTTATGCAACTAAATTTGTCACAACTTACACTTTTAAAAGAATCAACCGTCAACACTCCTGTTCGTTAAAACTAAATAATCACTAATATTAAGTCACAAAATAAACTAAATAATAACACTTAAATATACATGTATATATATGTGTTACTTCTAATCTCGGTGTTTAGTCAATGCCTGAAAACAATAACCATTTCTCGTTTTAAGCACAAAATATTTATCAAAGACCAAAATGAAATGTTTGTTATTTCGCTGTTTGTGCAAATTGTGCTTGAAACTACTGCAATTGTTGAATTGCAGTTTGCTTAAATTGGCTTACACAAAGACATAAGCAGTTGTCTTTTTTTTTTCTCTGTTTCCTTCTTTGCAATTTGAGCAAAATAATTTGCATAAACACTGAAATAACATCTTATTTCGATTGTTGTTAGTTTTGATATGTTCAACTCGCGAAATGGTAATTCCTTTCGATCAAGAACTGAATCCTGAGATTAAAGGTAACATAGATACTGATACTTACTTTAAACTGTTTTTATGAAGCCATGGCGAAGAAATAGTAAATAGCCTAATATCTAATTTACATACTTAGATATTTTAGTAAAAGAGTTAAATTTTAACTAGCTATTTACTACTAACAACTTTCCTTTATTTAACCTAAATATTTCTTTAAGCTTTTCCTTTTTGAAACATTATTAAATGTATTAACATATGTTTCAAAGCATTTTGTAAATTATTTTAATATAATGGGTAAATATTTTTCTCCTGTTATTTACTAAAATAAATGAATAAAAACCCTATATTCCGAGTGCTTTCAAAAGACGGACCTTTCTTCTTCAAGGGTAAACTGAGTTTTTATTCATTTCTATCAAGACTTTTTGAACCTACATATTTGAACTCATGAGTTTACTGATATATATATATATTCCTTTCTGCCAATATATCACTTTAAACTGGCTGAGGTCTAATATAACTTTGCGTATTGGTCGACACTTAATCTTATTTGTTTGGTTGAAGTTAAACACAATGGGCTATCTGTGCTCTGCCTACCACGGGTATAAACCCGGTTTCTAGCGCTGTAAGTCCGCAGACATACCGCTGTAACCACTGGAAGGCCCGACACTTAATGCAGCTCTTACAGTATTTATATAAAATATATGTCAAAATTCATATATGTCAAAATTTAGGACTTTAAACATTTTAAGAAAGTCTTGGAAAAGTTCTTTAACAGATTCCCATTAAACTATCTTTTCACATGCATAGAAAGTAAGCTTAGTAAAGTAAATAATGGATGGTATTGTTGCGTCAGCGAGTCACATGACTAGTGTGACGCCACGTTTCTAGAACTATCCCGTACCTT